CCAAGACAGCTCTACTCTTCTTGGCGATGTGAGTGGGCTTCCTACTGCTATGGACTCAGACCGTGGAGCGGGTCGTAAAGTCGGACTGAAGCAACGTGGTGGGTGTGATATTGAGCTCACCTCCAATTAGTAGCGGCATCTGGCATCGCTGCTGCAGCTCTCCCGCTGCTGCTAGCAGCTGGGCGTTTCGCTGAGACATTCCCTCGGAGTCGTACAGGTAAACAGACACCACTGCAACCTGACCAAGCCCTGGTGCTTCCAAGGCGACTGCACTCAAACGATGAGGACTGTCGAGGTGAGGAACAATAATAGACGACTGAACACCGTAATCGAAGCCGGCTCGAATCAAAATGGCCGTGCCCCCTGAAGGCCTGCCGCACTCGGACGCAGTCGCCGGTGTAATGACAGCCTGCCAGCCCACTGAGCTGGCCCATGATGTTGCCGTGCTGATAGCCTCTGGTCGACAGAGGCGAACTTCTTGGGCGAGAATGACGCTGGACGAGGCCGAGAAAGGCGAAGTGACAAAATCTTTCACGGCTCTCCAACAACTACCGTTTAGAGTCGCCACCCTTAGGATGTTACCCATCCTGCCTGGGATTGCTGAGTGCCTCCTGGTGGGTCTTGAGGCGCTTGAGGACTGTCTCCTGGGCGGGGTCCGGGTTGGCCTCCAGGCTAGAGACCAAAGCATTGAGGTGCGCCGCCAAGCTTCGCTTGTTGGGCTGGTCAGTCTGATCCATGAGATCTGCCAACTCTTCAGGTTTATCGGGAGGTGAACCGCCACCTGCCTGTCCTGGAACTTGCTGTTGCTGTGAAGGCTGTTGCTGAGAAGGTGCTGCTGCTGAGGCTGCGGGGGAAGAGGCTGCTGTGGCTGCTGCGGCAGCTGCTGCTGGCTGTGGAGGTGGGCCACCTCCTCTCGCTCCTGCTCCTGCTGCCGCTCCTCCTCCTCCTCCTCCTCCTCCTCCTCCTCCTCCTCCTCCTTCTCCTCCTCCTCCTCCTCCTCCAGCCTCTGCTTCCCCATCTGCTCCCACTGCCGCTCCCACTGCGCTCGCGCCGGGCGGAGGGACGTTCGCAGCACCCACCGCGGGCGGAGGTACGGCCGGCGCTGCCGCTGCCGCCGCCGCCGCGGGTGCCCCTCCTCCTGCTGCTGCTGCTGCTGCTGCTGCTGCTGCTGCTGTCGCCGCGTTCTTCTGGAGCTGCCTGGCCTGTTCAAGTTCCCTGACCAACCCCTCCATGAGGCCCTGGAGTTCGGGGGAGGGCTGATAGCCAGGGAGGCTGGGGAGGTGAGATTGGACAAAGCTGAGGACCCCTGCTTGAACAGACTGCTCTGCGACAGCTGCATTCCGAGTGACTGCCAACTGGGCCTCAAGGGCCTTGACTTCTCCTTCGTACCTTCGGATCTCTTATTCCTCCTTGGAGTGCTGATCAAGGAGCTGTGCAATATTGTCCAGCAGCGTGTTGTTAGCGGAACGGGTGTTCTGTAACTTCTTTTTCTGCGAATCCAGCTGGTCGACCAAGCTTTTGAGCTGGTCCTGAAGACTGCGAGAAGACAATGCTGAGCGCTTTGCTTGCTGAAGCTCCTGGGTGCCGTCTTGACCAGAGGATGCTCTGGGTCGAGGCCCGACCGTCTGAGGAAGCTGAGGTGCTCCTGAGCAAAACTGACGGGGTCGGGCGGGCTGCAGCGGTTGCTGCTGCTGCTGACTGCCGGCGGCGCCATGGCCGTTTCTTCCGGGGGGTCCTGAGGCTGCTCCTTGGGCCTGGCGATCTCCACCCCCCACGCTGGGGGGAGGAGGGCGACTGAGTGCACGTCTGCCCCAGCGGCCGGATCCGTTGGGGGGGCGGGGCTGAGATTTAGCAGTCGCCAGCGGGCGGGGCCGACCGGGAGTGGGGTTTGGCAAAACTAACCTCACGACATTTTGAAAAGGAACCTCCCTCAATCCGTGAAGCTCTGGCAAATTTTAAAAAAGAATGTGCGCGGCGCGAAGGCGAGAGCCACGTTTTGAGAAGGATCCGCCCTCAATCCGTGAAACTCTTGCAAATTTCAAAAATGAATGTGCGCGGCGCTCAGGCAAGAGCCATATTTTGAAAACGACCCCCCTCAATCCGTGAAGCTCTTGCCAATTTACAAATTGAATGTGCGCGGCGCTAAGGCGAGAGCCACACTTTGAAAACGACCCACCGTCAATCCGTGAAGCTCTTGCAAAGTTTTAATACGAATGTGGGCGGCGCTGAGGCGAGAGCCACTCTTTGAACACCACCCGCCCTCAACTCTGTAAGCCTTTGCAAATTTTTGATACGAATGTGCGCGGCGCAAAGGCGAGAGCCACATTTTGAAAACCACCCGCCCTCCATCTGTGAAGCTGTTGTCACTTTTGAAGCTTCAGAGTCATCAGTGGTGGGGAAGTCTCAGGCGAAACGCCTGGCCCGCCCTAAAAACTGGCCTCGGGGTGCGACAGGGAGGAGTTATCTATAAGGAGAAGGAATGGAGGAGAAGGAGGAGGAGGAGGAGGAGGAGGAGGAGGAGGAGGAGGAGGAGGAAAAAGGGGAGGAGGAGGATGGGGAGAAGGAGGAGCCAGGACCGCCAGAACCAGGTGCATCTCGCGCAGGAGGTGCACATGCTCTTGCCCGGCCCAGACCGGCTGTGGCGCCTCCCTGGCCGTGCCCAGCAGGTAGTGCCCTGAGGCGTTCAATGGCCCGCACACGCAAGCAGTCCAGAACGCCCTTGGCCTGTACCTGCTCGCAGCCGTGCTCTCTCCCGCCGCCGCACTGTTGCGGAGGCCACATCATTGGGGCGGCACTTGGCAGCGGGTGCAGAAACCACGTTCGCGTCTGCCCGCAGCGCACAACCATGGGCTGAGATCTGGGCACGTGTCGGGCAGCGGGGGCAGGCCACGCCGCACAAGGATGCTGATGATGCCGATGAGGACAACGTTTCTGATGATGATTATGATGCTGATGAAGAGAATGATGATGATGTGATGATGATGATGGTTGTGGTGTGGTGATGGCGATGATCGTGGAGACGGTGGTGGCGATGATGACGACGACGACGGTGGCAACGACGGCGATCAGGATGAGGATGATGATGACGATGATCATGGTGATGATGATACTGAGGATGAGAATGAGGATGAGGAAGAGGATGATTAAGGATGATGGTGATGGCGGGGGTGATCGTGGTGGCGGTGCTGATGATCATGAGGATGATGTTAGTGATGGTGCGGGTTCCTATGTCTTATGTTCTTATTATAACGTGGATAACGATGCTGCTGATGATGGTGCTGATGATGACGATCGCAAAGATGAGGACGATGAAATGGATAAAGATCACGATGGCGGTGATGACGATTACGATGACGAAGGTGATGGTGATGGTGATGGTGATGATGATGATGATGATGGTGGTGCTGATGCTGATGCTGACGATGAGGATGAGGAGGATGAGGAGGACGACGACGATGCTAATTATGCTGATGATGATTATGATGATAATAGTGATGATGACGATGATGCCGATGATGATGCTGATGATGTTTCTGTTGATGACGATTCTGATGATGGTGGTGATGATGATGACGATGCTGCTGCTGATGATGATGATGCTGACGATCATGATGATGATGCTTATACTGATTGTGATGATGACGATGCCGATGATGGTGATGATGATGATGATACTGATGATGCTGATGGTGATGATGATGTTGATGATGACGGTGATAGGGATGATGATGATGATGATGATGATGATGATGATGGTGGTGGTGGTGGTGGTGGTGATGATGCTGATGATGGTGGTGATGATGATGAGGATAATGAGTATGATCAGAAGCACCGCCCCAACCCCCATGATTGGCGTTCACTGAACGGCCAGGTGCGTTGACTAAACAGCCCTGCCCTGCTCGATTCCTTTCGCGTGTGCGTTTTTTTATCGGGTCTGCCTGTTGGGGTGCTTCTTATGAGGGTGGGTCTGTTGCTTATTGGATTATGTTGATGCTGATGCTGATGCTGCTGATGCTGCTGCTGCTGATGATGATGGTGACGAAACTGATAAGGAGGATGATGACGACGACGAGCATGACGATGATGATGATGATGATAATTATAATGCTAATGCTGATGTTGATGATGATGCTGATGATGACGACAGCGATGCTGATGATGCTGCACATGCTGCTGATGATGCTGCAGACGATCATGATGCAGCAGACGATGGAGATGATAGCGCTGCGGATGTTAGTGATAATAATGTGTAGGTTTGCGACGAAGAGGCAGCTTGTGGTGGTTATGCTGCGACGATGATGATGATGACGTGGTTAGTGATGAGGACAGTTATGATGATGATGATGATGCTGATGATGATGATGCTGATGATGATGATGATGATGATGATGATGATGATGATGATGATGATGATACTGGTGGTGATGATGATGCTGCTGATGATGATGACATCGAAGACGACGATAATGATGATGCTGCTGATGATGATGGTGATGATGCTAATGATGATGTTGATGGTGATGGTGGTAATGATGATGGTGATAACGATGTTAATGCTGATGCTGATGATGATGATGGTTGTGGAAGTGGTGGTGGTGGTGATGGTGACGATGATGCTGTTGTTGATGATGATGATGATGATGATGATGATGATGATGATGACCATGCATGCGGTGTCGGTTACGATGCAAACGATGAAGGTGATGATGATGATGGTGGTGGTGGTGGTGGTGCTGCTGATGCTGATGATGACGCTGATGCTGATGCTGAGGATGATGCTGATGATGATGCTGCTGCTGATGATGATGATGATAATGGAGATGATGATAATGGAGATGGTGATGATGATGGTGGTGATGATGATGATGATGATGATGATGATGATGCTGACGATGACGACTACGAAGACGGTGATGGCCTCGATGTTGGCGATGGCGATGATGCCGATGATGATGCTGAGGAGGAGGTGGAGGAGGAGGAGGCCAGCCCTCGACCGCCAGGCTGTGGTGCAGTACTATCACGACCACGTGCCCGAGAAGCTAGCAGAGCACAAGGCGAGAGAGCCCCCCGGCCCGCGCTGGCGTCCTTCCCCTGCTGTGCTCCTCCTCCTCCTGCTGCGCCCCTCCCCCTGCTGCTCCTCCTCCTGCTGCGCCCTCCCCCTGCTGCGCCCTCCCCCTGCTGCGCCCTCCCCCTGCTGCGCCCTCCCCCTGCTGCGCCCTCCCCCTGCTACGCGCTGTGCTCCTCCTCCCCCTGCTGCGCTCTCCCCCTGCTGCTCCTCCTCTGCTCTGGTCCTCCCCCTGCTGCTGCTCCTCCGTTCCGTGGCTCAAGTCTCAAGCCAAGGAAGACAGCGGGGCACATGGTCAACTCAGGTGGTTTGCTTGTCATCGCGCACACAGCAGCATGCCCGATATCCCAGAGCGCGGAGTCAGCAGCAACTCCAGCTCGACGCACCAAAGGCAGCGGAAGCGCTTGGAAGATCTCCAGGATGTTTCGAGCGTGTCGGACGTGTCGGTCAGCGAGGCCGCGATCGAATCAAATTGTCTGGAGTAATTTCAAAATTTGGAGAGGCACAAGAAAGACGGGGAATATTAAACACATGATGAAGGTGGCGAGGACGGAGGCGGACGAGGCGAAGGAGATTGCACAGACTGCTGAAGATACTTTGGACGATTTGGAAAGCGATGTCACGAATTTGCGAGATGACATGGAGCTACTGGTGGCCAAGGACATCGTCAAGGCCCTGCTGCAGGAAGAGGTGAAGGAAAGACTCGAGCAGCACCAAGGGGGAAGCAGCGAGGCAGAGGACGAAGGAAGAGCAGGAGGAGCAGCAGGAGCAGAGACACGGGAAATTGGTGCACAAGGAGGAAAAGGTACAGGTAAGGGGGACCTCCTGATGAGAAGAGGTCTCGGATGGCCTACTGCGACAAGCTTCCACAGGGCATCCAAGCGGTCATGATTTCATATTACGTGACGAAGGTGACGGAAGACAGAAAGGCGAGGTGGAGGATCTTTACGATTTTGGCAAGTTCGCTGAGAGAGGCGCTGTGCGTTTCAAGACACAGGCAGCTACGTGGAATTATTAACTTCGCCAGCAACCGGGCCCACCTAGAGCACAACGTGATGGAGGTACCATATTTGCCAATCCAGACGCAACACGCGATCCTGATCCTTGCAATGCGAAGGCCATGAGGGAAGTGGTGGTGGGGGCGACCATCGAGTCTTTTTTTTGGGGGGGGGGTGTAAATACCGACATCAAGAACATTCGGTACGAATTACGCTAAAGGAGCGGTGTGGTGAAAAGACAACCGAGTGGCATGATGGGATGCTCGTCAGGGCAAGATGCGCCCGCTGGGAGCGGCAGAGGACTTCCAGAAACATGCCGACGAGCCCACGAAAGAGGAGTAGGGCGTTGCCCTACAGAGAAGGCTGGGCGAACCTGCTGCGGAGGAGCCAGATGAAAGTATGTCGAGGTAAACGGGGACGTCCCAACCAATTTTGCACACCTCGCTCGGCGCGGCAGCTGAGGGATAGAGGAACCTCCTGAAAGTGGAGCACGCGTTCCTTTTTAGAGTATGTTGTTGGAGTGCCAGTGGGATGGAGAAAGGGGCAGTGGGGGACGCGGCTGATTTATCTGATGGGGTTACAGATTTGGATGCTGAATTATTACAGGAAGGTCCCTGTGCTGAGAAACATGCTTACAATCTTTTGGAAGGTGGGCGGTCTTTGTTCGCAGGGCCGCCGGCAATGACATTGCAGTGTGGCCGCTGTGATGCGCATGCGTTGGCTGGACAGGGAAGCGGAGCTAAATTTTTCGACGACTGGGTGGAACATGGCATTGGTTGACCTGAGCTGTGCGAATTGAAAGCTACGTCTCACGTCGCGTTTTCCACATTCTGCTGCTTTGGAGTCCGAGTGCGCAGAAAATTTCAACATTGGCCGGCCAGGCCGTGGAGGAAGGGCGAAGGCGCGGTCGCGCGAGTATTTTGGGCGCTGATGCTGGCGCCAACGGCAGGTCCCAGAAGTGCCACTGACAGCCCGCGCGCACTGGGGTTGCATGGTCTGGGACGCTGGTGCCCGAGAGGAGATGTCATGGTCGAGTGGCTGCGTGAGATGCGGCTGTCTGCCGTGGCCGCGCGCGCCGAGGGGCCCTTTCCACGCGCGTGGGCGCGCGAACTCTGGGGCGCAGGGTTCTGGCAGTTAATCGGTTACATGTGTGCTGAATGGCTGGGTGCTGGTACTTCCATGAATTAGTTTATCGTGGAGAAATTAATGGCAAGTTGGATCATCGCGCAGTTGTCGTTGACGTTCTCGTCGAAGGGGGACGCCGCGCGAGCCGCGGAGACGACCGGATGGACTTTAGAATTTGATTCGCCGAGGAACCCGGGCAGCTTCCACGCGGCCCTGGGCGAAACTCTGGGGGGGCTGGGCGAATTGGCGGATCCGTCCGACGCTCCCCGAGCGCGCCCCGCTGCGCGCAAAGTTCGCATTTGCAGGCGTCCGAGAAACACTTGTCTGCTTCGACGCAGCGCAGTTGCCTAGATAGCATCGCGGGCGGGGGGGGGCGACGTAATTTGGCCGCGGGCGCAGTCGAGATACGCAGAATTCGATGGATACCCGCCGAAACGAAGTGGATCCTAAAAGTCGGGCGCAGTTGTCTGAACAGGTAGGAAGGGCCTTGCCGCGGGGGCGCCGGCAGTGGTGAGACATAGAGGTGGGGGTCCCTGTTGCCGAGGGGATCTTAGCATGGGTTCTGAGATGGTAGGAGCGGGGGCGCTCTGGGGTCGATCGCGTCGTGGCCATCGTGGGCAACGACGGCCATTCTCAGTCGAAACCAGCGCAGCTTTGTTCTGGCTGTTTTTGTTTCTTTGGTGTTGTTGTTGTGGTTGTTGTTTGTGTGTTAGTTTGTTTGTTCGCTCGTTCGTTTTTTTTTGTTGCTTCTTTGTTTGCTTCTTGTCGTCGCTGTTGTCTTCCGTGAGCGCGAGGGCCCATGCTGGGATGTCGCCGGGGTCGGAATAGAAACGTCCCGCGGGGTCGTCGACGAGGACGCAGTGGCGCAGCGCGAGCTACAGGGGGCGATTCGGAACCTGAAGCGAGGCACAAACAGCGGAAACGCTGGCCTTGTCCCCTACCTAGGCTCTGCCTAGAAGCCCCAAGAGGCCTCTCTCGGACAGCCTCCTACCTAGGCTCTGCCTAGAAGGGTTCTTACTGTGTCTACTTAAAGGGGCCGGGCAGTGGTCCTCGCCCCAGGCGGTTCCCCCGGCATCCGCCCCGCGGTTCCCCCAGTTGCGTCCCCTTAGCTTAGCGTTGCTTATCTCATCTTAGCTTAGCCTAGCTTAGCTTAGCTTAGCTTAGCTTAGCTTAGCCTAGTTTAACTTAGCTTAGCTTAGCTTGAGCTTAGCTTAGCCTAGCCTAGCTTAGCTTAGCTTAGCTTAGCTTAGCTTAGCGCAGCATTAGCATATCATATAACATCATATCATAACATATCATAACTTAGCATATCATCGCGCAGCAATCATAGTTCATCATACCATAGCATAGCATAGCATATCATAGCATAGCGCAGCATATCATATCACATCATATCATATCATAGCTTAGCTTGACATAACATAGCGCATCATACCATAGTGCATCATATCATATCATACCATGGCATAGCACAGCATACCATAGCGCAGCATAGCATATCATATCATAGCATAGCGCAGCCTACCACAGCATATCATAGCATAGCATATCGCAGCATACCCTGTCATATCATAGCATATCATAGCGCAGCATAGCATATCATAGCATAGCCTAGCATAGCATAGCATAGCTGTCAGTGTAGATGTAGATGTTGCTATCCTAGATGCTCCAACTCCTAGGTAGGGTCGCACTGGGATCATTTCTTTGTTTGCTTGTTGTCGTCGCTGTTGTCTTCCGTGCGCGCGAGGGCCCATGCCGGGATGTCGACGGGGTCGGAGTAGAAATGTCCCGCGGGGTCGTCGACGAGGACGCAGTGGCGCGGCGCGAGCTGCAGGGGGCGATTCGGAACCTGAAGCGAGGCACAAACAGCGGAAACGCTGGCCTTGTCGCTTGCATGCTGAAAATTGGGCGCGGGGAGCTCGCGGGTGCCACCGCAGAGTTTTTCGCGCAAATCCCCGGGGGGCCGCGCGATGCAGCCGCATGTATTGCGAGCGACAATACTCGGAGTATAATTTCAAACATGGGAGCCCGACATTGCCGACAAACATGCGAACCGATCGCCATCCTTCTTGTGATGTTTAAATTTCGGCGCTCCTTTGGGTTTCGGCGCCCGCTTGGTCTTCTGCGCCCGTCTAGTTCTCGGCGCCCTCCTGGTCTTCGGCGCCCCTTTGGTTTCTGGCGCGCGATTCGGTTTCTGCGCTCTGTTGGTTTTAAGCGTTTCTTTGGTTCTCGACGCCCTCTTGGTTTTCGGCGCCCTTCGGTTTTCGGCGCCCTCTGGGTTTTCTACGCCCCTTTGGTTTTCGGCGTCCTTTTGGTTTTAGTGTTCCTTTTTCCCAACCATCTCGTGGCGTTGGGTCCTCGTTTTGAAAAGACAGCGCCCCTCCCGCTGCCCCCCCCACCCCGCCCCCCCCTCCTCCCATTCCTGCTTCTGCTCGCCGCGCGTCTACCGCGTCGGCGCGCCCCTCGCGAGGATCGTGGCCCCTCGGGGAGCTCCGCCGAAGGCCCCGGCGGCAGGGCTTGCACGCGCCCCCCAATCCCCTCTTCCCTCCCCCTCTCCAGCCCGCCTCTCCCCTCCGCGGCCCTCCGCCCTGCACCGCCCCCTCCCGCGCCTTGCTCCTCTGCCCCACGAGAGGCCCGCGCCGCCCCAGCAGTGGGCGGGAAGCTCGGCACCCGCCGACCCCCGCGCCACGACCCATCCAGGAGGAGGAGGAGGAGGAGGAGGAGGAGGAGGAAGAGGAGGAGGAGGAGGAGGAGGAGGAGGAGGAGGAGGAGGAGGAGGAGGAGGAGGAGGAGGAGGAGGAGGAGCCCCTCT